TAATCCCCGCAAAAATTTTATTATTTATGAAAATAATTGAATGATTGCGAAGAAATGTATAAAAAAAATTTGTAAATAATGAAATTCCTGTGAAATTTTTATTATTTTTTGAAAATAATTAAAAGTTTGTTTAGAATTTTATAACAATTTTTTTTTTAATAATTGAATTCTTTTGGAAAATTTCATGAAAATTGTGTAGATATTAAAAATTATTGAATTGTGGAAAATTTTTGAAAATACTTAAATTTCGAAGAAGAATTTAATTATTTCTAAAGATAATTAAAATTTTGATAAAAATTTTCAAAAAATTTTGATCATAATTGAATTTCTGCGAAGAATTTTATTTCTTTTGAAAATAATTGAATTTCTGGAATCATTTGTAATTTCTCTAAAATTATCCAAATTATATCGTACAATTTACGAACTTTTCATCCTTTTTGAATCAAATTACGGACTTTGTGGTCCTTTAAAAAAACGGACTTTTACGGGATTTACGAACCTAGTTCGAGCCCTACTTATGCTTTCTTAGGTAGGGGATGGGATCTAGAATTTTATGTGAAATTTAATGTAAAATTTGTCCACTTTTTAATTACCTAAAATCAAGTTTTCGAAAAAAGGGAATGTAGAGAGAAATTTTAGTTAAGATAGAGGGGAGCGGACGATAAAAATCATACAAATTCTTACTTGGGTAAGGGGAGGGGTCAGAACCCCTAAAAATATGCTCAAATAACACTTGAATAGCCCCTTAGTAATAATTAATGAATTTATAATTTAATTTATTTTTTTAATATTTATAATATTGCTTGTAGATTTACACTACAAATTTGACAAAAAGCCATCATTTTTGTTAATTCCGTCAAACTTGCAATGTAAACCTGAAGCAAACCTTCCATTGTTCTAACGTGCTATCTGGGTCCTCTCTCCACTAAATCGCAATTCTCATTTTCTCCCAACGCGAATTAAATAAAATAAAAAAAATATTTTTATCAAGTTCACTAGTTTTTCAAAAATGACAACTAACATACGTTTCTCTCCACTTCAAACTTTCAAATGCATTCTAAAATCATAAAAAATAGAAAATTACCACCATCATAATCAAACTCATCTAAATGGCAGAATTCTTAATATAAAAATTTCAATTAAAAAAAACCACTTAACTAGAGACATTTTTGACAAAACCTATAAAAAAGGCCTGCTTTTAAAAATTCTATCTGTGCTTTTGATCGCTAGACGGTGCGCGCACTCCTGAATTCAGCGCACGTGATTGGGCGTCCCTTCTCTGTCGCTTTTCGCGAATCGCACATTGTAGCCGCTTTAGAGGAGCAGCAGAAGTAAATAAAATAAAAAAAAGAAGGAAAACTGTGTTGTTCATACATTAGAGCATAGCAAAAAAAAAAAATAAACATAACCAAATTATAAATGTTAAAGTAGCTCTATAAATTCCCTATACTGCTATATTATTATTGCCAACGATCCTCATTGCTTCTATAGCAACAAACTTGTAAGCTGTGCTTTTATCGGCTGTATGTGTTTTACTTTGCTTGTCGCTTGGCTTTTTGATGGCTTCTTGTGATCCACTGTTTGTTTTTTACGTTCACTGTTTCAGCAAACGAGTGTTAATTTTTATTATTATTATTAAACTGAATATATAATGAGTTTATCGTCTCATTCTATCGTTTATATACCTTTATTTTTCTTTTAATGTTGATTGCTGTTCTTGGTACTGACATTATTATTATTATTACTATTATTATTATTTGCTTTTTGTTTCAACCGTTTTTTAATTATTTCGTAATAAAAAGTATTTAGCCCTTTTTTATTACAAAATAATTAGAGTTGTTATAATTATTATCATTTTTTTATTGTTATATATTATTATATTGTTAATAATGATATTCTTATTATGATTGATTATTACATCATAAATAAGCTTATACACTCACTCCTATTGATTGTTCAGTAGAGAAGTGCAGTTTTTCGTTAAATCATTTTTCCGCTGTCATTCGTGCGCATCCCTTTGTCTAATGTATTTCCATATTCTATTTATATAATCCACGTGATTTTTATGAATTTCAAAAATATTTTCTATAAAATAGAAATTTTCTTTATTATGTAAAGTAATTTTTTGTGAAAAGTACCTTAAAATACATAAATGTCATAAATATTTAGGTTTTATTATTTAATTTATTCAACAACTTATAATAAATATATATAACAAATAATTGTTACTCCCAATAACTAAAAATCAAGTGGACTGTATAAATATATTATTTTTTCCCAAAAAGTGACGATTTACATTTACGTATTGCAATAAAATTAATTTTCTTGGACGTAAAATGTATATTCATTACTTTTTAGACTATTATTGCAGCAAAAGTTTCTTCTGATAATAAATTAAAATACTGAAAACTAATCATATATTTTACAGAAAAATACTTGTGAGAATGTAAAAACAAAAGTATTTGATAAAATTCTTCAATAAAAAATAATTGTTATAATATTGTAACAATTTTTAACAAAAAGTATACAACATTCAATGCCCATAATTAAATAATTAAATTTTTTCAGATATTCAAAATGATATCATAATTATTTTAATCATAAAGAATGTTTTAGAATTTTTTCGTTTGGTTTTAATTTATTATCAGTAACTTTTTGCGGCTACTGTTAAACCTATATATAAATATAAACAAACAGATATATTTATATATAAGTAGAAGATGCGTCTACGTGTTTTTGTTCTTTAAAAAAGGTAACGTATTTTATTTGTGAAACTAGTTTTAAGATCATCTTCCCCTTTTGGAACATTATTAGTAGCCTCAGACGCAATATTGTTAATTACTAACACGAACCATTAATTTTTTTTTAGCTCCACTAGAAAATATCACGAATTGTAATCACGGAATCGATACGTTAAACCCGAAAAATCACAAAATTAACAAATATTTTTCATTCTAAAACTAAAAAAAGATAAGTTAATTTTTACAAACATTAAAGAAAATATTAAATCAAAAAAAGGAATAATCAATATATGGAAAAACTAAATATTTTCTAAATTAACTCAAGTTTATTAATTATATTATTTGTAAATATAATCTTAATGAATTTAAAATGCATTAACAAAATGGGTTTGTCGTAATCGAAACTGTCATTCGAGAGAAAAGTATACAAGAAATTCGAAATTTGTAAACCTTTTTTTAATTTCTACTTTTTGTTTAAGAAAATATAATTAAACTTTTCTCTCGTTATTTACAACAATGTCCTGTAAATTGATGACAATGAAGAGAATATGTCTCAACAGATGTGTATGTAGTTTTTTTTATATTGTAAAATGAAAAAAGAAATGCATACAATTCTGTAGGTATTCGTGAAACATGCTTCATTAACTCTTGACAATTTTATCATTCTCAATATTCCAAGAAAAGAGAAAAATAGAAATTTTATCAATTTTATAAATCGTTTATTTCAAAAACTATTGATTTAAAAATTACTTATCGATAACTAATCGGGAATTATTTAATATTTAATATTGATAACAAATATTTCTAATTATTTTAATTGAAGTAATGTTAAATATGCATAATTTTATAAATTATAATTAAATCACCTGCGACCAGAAGATCTTACAAGCGAAACGTTGTGGGTGTTATTTTTTTATTAAAAGGAAATAAAATATTAAATTCTTTAATGAAAAGAAAAATCATCCACGATGTCCTTTCGCTTGTATGCACTTTTGGTGAACTGCAATATTAAAAATTATAAATAAAAATACTTTTTCGAAATTTGTTTAATTACTGCAAATAAAAGAATAAATAAAATATTCTTCTCCTTTCTCAAGTCTTTAGTACTTGTAAAAAACGTCTTCACATCGAATTAATAAAGAATTGACTAAGCGATGTGAAGATAAATCAACATTTTTCAAAATGATTTTTCAGTTTCTTTTCTGTTAAAAGCATCTTAGAATTATCAGCGATTTCGGTTTTTCTCGACATTTTTTCGTTTTTCGTTTGTGTATACCTCGTCGTGCGTAATTTTTTTCTGATGTATAGCATGCTTTTCTTTATTAACAAATTTACAATTATTATTATTATTATTGTCAGTGGAGTTATATCGTCTTTTTAATTTTCTTCTTTAAAAGGAAATCACCGAATTACTAAATATCCGCGTGTTTCCCTATTCTGTTGTTTATGTTTTTTCTTCATTAAACAAATAATCTATAATTTGTAATTAAAAGTAGAAATTTATGGGATTTAAACTATTGAAAAATCAGCCATTTCCTTTCAAACTTTTAAGTAAATAAACAGTTTATAATTAACTAATTTACAAATAAATAATTTTTAAATAAAAAATTTATTTTTATTTAAATTTCAAAATTATTATGTAACTAAAGAATCAATTTATAAATACGGGATTATTATCAATATCAAATCAATGAAATTGACCTTTCATGGATAAAAACAAATATCAAATATCGTTGTATTTGGCATTGCAAAAAACAGAATATAAAATACTGTATAAAGTCCTTGTTTTGTATTTGAAAATCTTTTGTACTTTTTTAAGAATTAAAAATATTTATCAGTAAAAATCTGTTACAAAAACTATTAAAGCTAAATAATGAAGATTAGTAATACAGAAGTACTTATAAATTCCTAAAAAAAGAAAACTTTGGCAATGGTTGATTATTTTTCAATAGAATAAAATACATAATGAATTGCAGCATCCATTATATTTAGTGTACGTGTAACGTTAATGTTCGTGTTTCTTTTCTTTTTATTTGTTTTTCTGATACTAAATAAAGAATCCAAAAGTAGATAATCATAAAAATTTGTTGCCGAAGTCGACAGTTGTTTTTGTGCGGCACTCGCTTGTTTCGCTGTACACTATACGCAACGACGCTTTCGGATGCCATTAACAGAAAGGGTTTAGCAAAAAAAAAAAAAAAAAAAATGGGTACGTAAATGAACAGTGAGAAAGTAAAGCCTGATCATTGTTGTTGGCAGTTCCTGAATATGGCGTCGGTGTTTATGCGGATATTTAACCTGATCTGCATGATGCTCCTCATTGGTCATTGGAGTGGCTGTCTACAATTCCTGGTACCAATGCTTCAAGGCTTTCCCAGCAATTCATGGGTTGCCATCAACGAGTTGCAAGTGAGTATCAGAAAAATTAATAAACTCTTTTCTATAGAGAGAAAAAAAATCGATAATTTCTTTACAATGCAAAGATGCATATACGATAAAAGAAAATTATGCAAAGCATCAAAAAGATTCACTGGAGAGCATTACTTCAAAGAAAATAAAACAACTCTTTTTTCTAGGATTCGTTTTGGTTGGAGCAATATTCGTGGGCATTGTTTAAAGCCATGTCACATATGTTATGTATAGGTTACGGAAGGTTTCCACCGCAATCGTTAACCGACATGTGGTTAACGATGCTGAGCATGATCAGTGGTGCAACGTGTTATGCACTATTTCTTGGTCATGCGACGAATCTCATTCAATCACTAGATTCGTCGAGAAGACAATATCGAGAGAAGGTATATCTTCTTTCTCATTTACACCCCGAACAATTTTTCCACTATAATAAGTATGACAGAAAATAAATTCATGACATTCTTTTAAAACATAAATAATTCTAGGTGAAACAAGTAGAAGAGTATATGGCCTACAGAAAATTGCCGAGAGAAATGAGACAGAGGATAACGGAATATTTTGAACATCGTTATCAGGGAAAATTCTTCGACGAGGAGTTAATTCTTGGCGAATTATCAGAAAAATTAAGAGAGGTGAGGCATTTTTCTAAAATTCTATACCTTCATCCGTTGTTTTAAAATTGACAATGTAAATGTAAAATTGCAAAAAGAACGATTAGCAAACTGGATATATTAGTAGTTGATAGAACAAGTTAAACCGTCAAACATTTATTAACGATTCAATTAGTTTGAGTCTGAAATTAATCTTGATGGTGGAAACTGCTGCTGATCTTGAATTTTAATTAAAAAACTTTTCGCGCTTACCATCTTGTTAATGATCTACCCTTTATTGTCAACATACAGGATGTTATAAACTACAACTGCAGATCGCTCGTTGCATCTGTACCATTCTTCGCAAATGCGGATTCAAACTTTGTATCGGACGTCGTCACAAAGTTAAGATACGAGGTTTTCCAACCAGGTAATTAAATTTAATTCACCCAAAAACTTCTCAATGTAGAATTAACAATTTTGCACCCTAACTGTTGTAAATATTTTTCTGTCAATACAAATACAAAACATTAAAAACTCAAGTTCTATTTTTCAAAAGTATAAGTAATATTGGAGAGAAGAAGATCGAATTTCAGAAGGACACTTATATTTAATAGACTCTTTATGAATTCGATTTTTTTTCATAGAATCTGGAGAAAATTATTTCAAGTTAGCTTATTAGGAATTTTAGTAGTTTTAAAAGAGCTATAAAGTGAAACGAAAAAATATATGAGGCCATTAAACGAAGAAAAACAGTTCTTTTTTAATGACTCCATATACAGTGGGGTATCTATTAAAAGATAATTAAACCATTAAGAAAAATATGTTCGTAAATATAATCAAGTTCTTATTTTGAAGTCAGCTCTAACAATTCTAGATATTTGAGAAACATACATTTTCTTTGAATTGCATCTAATAATAATTTACCAATGTCTTTTCCAGGCGATATTATAATAAAGGAAGGTACAATTGGCTCGAAAATGTATTTCATTCAGGAGGGTATTGTAGATATAGTTATGGCGAATGGAGAGGTGGCAACATCACTGTCGGATGGCTCTTATTTTGGGGAAATTTGCCTCTTAACAAATGCGAGGCGAGTCGCTTCAGTTCGAGCTGAGACCTACTGCAATCTCTTCAGCCTCTCGGTGGATCATTTTAACGCTGTTTTGGACCAATATCCATTAATGCGACGGACCATGGAGAGCGTTGCCGCCGAGAGGTATAAACTTTGGTTAGGTTTGTTCTATCGAGTTGGTGTGATAAATAGATGTCGATCGCTAAACCCTTCCCCCATCGCTATTTTTTACATTTATATTATATTGTATTTCAGTCAAAATTATTATATATTATATGTATATCTATACAAATCGATATTATTCAATCGTCATTCATCAACTTTTTTCCTATATATATTCTCTATATATATTTATTATCACGCACTCATGCACAAGTGCATTTTTTCAGAACTATATATTATCTCTATTTATCTCTATACTTTACTCGATACATGATTAGTTAGAATATAATTATGAATGAGAGAGAGATTGTAAGGAAATGGTTTTTTATATAAAAACGAAAAGGACACCTGATAAAACTATTTCGATACTGATCTCCGAATTGAGTGGATGTTCTATTCTTCTTTTAATCAATTTTGCAAAATTTAAGTTTAATTATTTCCGGGTTACCACAAATATTTAATTTTATTTTTCCCTGATTTCCAGACTCTTTCCTGACTGATTTTTACCTTTTCCCTAAACCTAAAGAATATTCTACTTCACTCTAAAAATTATTAAATCCTCAAAAAAATACTCTTGAATACATTTATTTGCGAATTTCTTTAATTGCAAAATTATTCGAAAACATTAATAACTTCTTTTTTAAATGAATCTTTAATCATTATTATTTTTCCGCAGGAATTAAAATTTGTCAAAATATTCAAATTTAAACCTTTTTGAAGTTCAACAACTTATAAGAATATTAGTACAAAATATGAAGAAATCGATCACTCCGAGTCTTCGACTCGGAGTAATCGCCTTCTTCCTGTTTTGTAATAATTTAAATTACCATAAAATTTTTCAAAAAAAAGCTAATTATTTACAAAAATCCTAATAAAATCCTTCGCAAGAATTCAAATATTTTTACAAGTAGTAAAATTTCTCAAAAAAATTTAATTTTTAAAAAAAATGTAATAAAATTCGTTGCAAGAATTCAATTATTTCCATAAATAATAAATCGATTATTCGGTAATTCATTTTTAAATCAATTTTTATTAGAAAATTCTAGAAGAAATAAATTATTTAAATTAAAAAATAAATCATTTATTGAATAATTGAATGTTTGTTAAAATTGAATTGTTATAAAGAATTTTATTAAAATTCTTCTAAAATGATTGAAATTCTAAAGAGAATTTTATTGTTTATAAAGATACTTGAAATTTTGACAAGAATTTTTTTTTAAATTTTTGAACATAATTGAATTTTTACGAAGAATTTCATTACTTTTGAAAATAATTTAATTGTTCAAACTAATTTCATTCAAGATTATAAAAATAACTGAATTTCTGTGAAGAGTTTTATTATTTATATAAATAATTGAATTCTTGCAACGAATTTTATCCAAGTTTATAAAAAAAATTGAATTTCGGTGAAGAATTTTATTATTTATAAAAATTTTGTAAATAATTGAATTCCTGTAAAATGTTGCCAAGAATTTTATTAAAATTTTTAACAATAAGTAAATTTTGAAGAAGAATTTTATTAGTTTTGAAAATAATTGAATTTCTGGAATCATTTGTAACTTTTCCAAAATTCAATTTTTATAGTATTTTTAACAAAAATTCTTCTATAAATCTAGTATTTATGAAAATTGTAAAAATTATTCATTAAATAATTTATAAGTCATCATTTTATGATAGTTCTTGAAAAATTGAGTTATTTAAAAAGAAATTAATGTCAGAAATAGAAAAAATTATAGGTTTTGTATTAAAATTCTTGGTAATTTCATAGTTTACGAGGCAAACAAAAAAAACATCAAAATTCAGAGTTTTCTCATGAATTTTAAAAATTCAATTTTTCCAGTACTTTTACTAAAAATCCCCGACTTTCCTGACCTTTGGCAACCCTGAATTTTTTTTTATTTAATAAGAAGAAATTTTTGGTCAATTTATTCCCTTACTAAAAGAAAATAATCATAAAATTCAAAAGAAAGTATTTTTTAATTTAAGAACATGTAATTTGTAAAATACTTCCATAAAATTTATTAACTATTTTCTATCAATATTGGTTTGGAACTATTTATTTTTTCTTTTAATTTTGAGTGCTCTAAAATGTGTGAATTCTTTTCTGATCTCTATTTTAAATGAGCTCAAGAATTTTCTGCGAATATGGCTGATTTCCTAACGCATATCAACCATATTTCATGGAAATTTCTTTCACAATAAATGATGACTGTCGCTAAAATTATTTTCATCTTAAAAAAATATAACTTGTTCCTTTTTTTTATGTAACGAATAAAGAGACTTTTTCGATTTTTAAATACAGTCTGTATTAAATGTTAAAAACAATAAAAAATTAAATTAATTTCATTCAAAGTAGAATTAAAGTAAAATTAATTTGAAGAACACAAATTTTACACTTTTATTAGAAATGTTTAAAATTTTTAAGTGTTATTTTAATTTTTAAATAACTAACAGAAATATCTAAAAATCAGCATTTAAAATTTATTGTAAAGTTGAAAAAATTTTAGCGATAGGCATTTGAAACAAATCGTCGACAATTTGAACATACCGAGGAACATATACGCTCTTTACATTGTCAGAATACTCTTGCAAAAGTTTACGCTTATTATTACAGTGGATTCTCAAAACAAATTTGCTTTCGAAATACTTTTTTTGCATTAAAATTTTGAAAAAAATTTTTTTTCTTTTCAAATCTGAGAATCTACTGTATTTCTGTATATAGTAATACTCATAAGCAGCACATGAAGTATTGCTATAAAAATAAACAGAATAACCACCGCTGCTTTTACAAATCGTTCGACTATCAGTCGCTTAAAATTTTTATTTGTCGACTATTCCGTCATTTTTAGAAATCTTTAGCACCAGTGAGTGAAAAAAAAAGTATTTTCCAAATTGTGCTGCCCTAATTTTTAATATAAATTAATTTTTCTATCGAATCTGTTTATTTTAATAAAGAAATTGGTTGTAATGTATATTAATTATTAAATATTACTATTGTGAGAGTTTTCTTTTTAATAGTATGGCAAAAGTTATAGATTAAAAATTAAAAATTGATTTTAACGATATTGTAATCGAAGGAAAAAAAGTGGTTGCTAAATTTTTCTCGGTCAATTGTGAATAATCGCTGGGTATATTCATTCCTACTGTCCCTACGCTTAATTCAACTTTTCTCTGCAGGTTAAATAAAATTGGGAAGAATCCTAATTTAGTAGGGCATCGTGAAGAGGATCTTGGCAGCGAATCGAAGACCATAAATGCTGTCGTAAATGCTCTTGCGGAACAGGCAGCTCACGCAAGTGCTAGCGAAGAATCGGTAATCAAATTAAAATTCTTTTTCTCAAAATCAAACAAATGATAAAAGTATATTTTGTCCCATTTACAGAATTAATAATTCAAAATATTCTATAATTTACGAATACGAAAGGGTTTGGTAATATTTACACAACTTTTTATTTATAATGCAAAACTTAAGCAATTAATTTTTGCAGGTGCACAGTTTGGAGCTGAGAACATTACCAGGGAGTTTGCTTCCCAGGCCAAAGTCTGAAAACAATTTTGCAAGCCAAGACCTCACGAGGGAAGGGCGAAAAATCTTCCACAAAAGCGACACTTTCCACAAAGACTCGTATCAATGACGACACTCGATTTACTAGCAAACACAGAGGTACTAAAGGCCCATTCAAGACTTATTTTTTTTTTCTTTCTTTTTGGTGCCTTTGTCAAAAATTCATGTACCTCACTGTGATGCAATAATGAACTAATTTTAATCAATTTGACTCGAGAAGTGCAAGTGAACGCTCGTCAAAACTCTAGTTCTCTAAAAACAAAATCAGTATTAGAGTTGACTATCAATTTTTTTTTTGGGAACAATTTTTATCTCATCAAAAAGTTCTTCACCTGGACCCCAAAAGAGGAAACACTGACGAAAAAATACAAACATTCCCAAAAGTGAATTTTATCGAAATAGAAAATCGTCGAAAAACTTTTTAAGTGGCCTATTTGTATATTGGCATTTATGCTTTTCAAACACAACAAAAAAATTAAAGAGCAAAATTAAAGAGTTACGATGTAAAAAAAGTGATGATAGTTTACCTGTGAAAGTTGCATTTTACGAAAGCTACAAATTCTACCGTTTAGTGTAAAAAAAACCAAGGGATAAGATAAAAATCGTAGCCTAGAAATGAATTTACATTATAGAATGAAAATTCACTTTTCTATATCTACAAAAAAAAAAATTGTAAATAATTTACTAGAGAATCAACGACAACTCAAAATAGCAGTACTTTCACAGAGTTTAGACGCGATTTAAAAACAAAAAACCATTTCTTCGATTATTCGAAAATTCTTATATTTTCTCGTCGTCATCATCAAATACTCGAAAAATCCATTAAATCTCAAAAAAAAATATTATAAAAAAAAAAATGTCGCCGAGCAGAACATTTTCGTCAAGTTTAGTGAACTATGAATACTGATGAGCGTGTGAATTAAAAATGAATAAAAAAATTAGACGATCCTTCTCGTTACGAAGTAAAGTAGGCCTAGGAATTATAAGCGAATACTGTGTCCAACGTGGATCTATTCCTAATATGTGAGAAAAAAAAATAATCGACGCGTAAAATTGTGATTTTTCCAGAACAGAGTTTCATATCTTAGAAAAGAAAAACGATTTGCGTTTAGTTTCGAATAAAAAGAAAAAAAACAAAATGAAATAATTTTTAGACAAAACGAGATTGAGTGCGAGTTATCGCTTTTTATTAGTCTCTCGAACTGATCTTTTAGAATAATTAATTAACTTCTTATTTAATCAAGAATATGCATATATATTATATAAAAATATAGAAATAAAATATTTCAGGGAAACTGTTCAAAATTCTTAAATGGCCACAAAATGAAGTTATTTTTCTCTTTTTATTTTTCCAACGAAAAAGAAATTTCATTTATTTATTTTTATAAAATAAATAACGCCCGCACTTTTGTACTAAAAGTCTATTTTTACTACTAAAAATATTGAGAGAAATTTTCATTCTCTATTTTCTTTTTCATTTTTAAAAACTTTTATTAGAAAAAATAAAGAAATGAATATAATTATTTTCAATGTAAAATTATCTCAAAAGTGTGAAAATCTTTTTCGAAAATTAAATTAAACATTCAATCGAGTATTTTAAATTTATTTTAAGTTTATTTAAAATTAGTTAAATAATTTTAATACAAAATTAAAAAGGTAACTTCAATCAAATTCCAATTACAATAGTTGAAATTTAATGAACAATTAAAAAGCACAAAATTCAATTTTAATTTAAAATTATTTTGAATTTAAGTATTCAATTCAAGTGCTATAAGCGATAAATAAAGTAGATTATTTTTTTGAAACAAAACTACAGTTCCCTCATTATTTTTCAATTTAAAAAAATCAACTTAAAAATTTTTATACTATACTCAAATTGTTCAAACGAACATATTTTACAAAATTTCATAAAAATAATCCCACAAATATTATTTTTAGGGAAAAATAACTTCACTAATGATCAAATAATATTCAGAACTGGCTTTTCTGTTTTAATATTTTCATTAAAAGAGAAAAAAAAAGTTCACAACATTATACCACAGAAAATAAAAACAGTGATATTAAACCTAAAGAATATTTTCAGTTTTGAGTGAATTTTAGTTTCAAGGGTGAAATCAGGGTAAGATAATATGAGAAAATGAAAAACAAGTGAACAACTCCGAGTCCAAAGACTTGTTAAATTGTTGAATGTTTTTTGGACTTTTGAGTTTTTGACATCAGAAAAAGAAAAAAACATTCAGACAAAATAGAATTCAAAGAGAGAAAGAGAGAGTGAGAAAGAAAGCGAAAGAGAGAGAAACTTTATATATATATATATACGTTAAACGAAAGCAAATATGTAAAAAAAGAGCGCTATAAATATTATCTTTAAGTAAATTATTATTGTTATTAACGAGATTGCTATTAGCAATGATTGCTACCACAAATGCATTATTAGGATTTACAAAACAAAAAAAGAAAAAAAAATATTGACTGTACACTCAAGTTGCTACAATGATTTTAGAAAGCATTTCTCTTTTTTTTAAAAAAAAAACGATTTTTTTTCTTTTCTTCCTCTCTATAAATGAAAGGGCAGCGCGACTCATTAATCAAAAAAAATTTACACGTCTCAGGTCTGAAAAACAAAATGGACAATTTATTCATCAATTTTAGCAAATTTTAATGACAATAATAATAATAATTATAATAATAGTAATAATACAAAAAAATTCGAAACAAGGGACCTAAAAGATATATTCATCAAATTTAAAGGAATGAAATTTACAAAATACTAAAAAAAATTATACCTATTAAATTTCTTCAATTCAAAATAATTTTTTCAAAGAAAACAAATTACGCAAATTAGAAAATTTATTCATTACAAAAATAAAAATTTAACAATCAATAAACAATTTTTAAATATTTTTAATATATTAATATTATTTTATATAAATATCTTCATTATTTATATAATTTAATTACTAATTCTTATTCTAATTTAATTCAATTTTACTTTATTCAAGAATTCTTTTAAATTTAAAACGATTCTTTTATTTTTTAATTTTTTAATCAAATAGATTTTCTAATTTACACAAATTAATTATCTTTATTAATTATTAATAATTAAATTAATAATTAAATTATCATTATTAAATAAAATAATATTATTTAATAAAAATGATAATATTCTATTAATTAATTAATTAATTTCTTCCTCTGGGGTAATAATTTAAAAAAGTAATTTTCATTCCTTACGGAACAAAATTTTGCAGAAATTTTCAAATTTTTTTGTTTCAATCCCTGAGACGTTTCTAGTTCGCAAATAATGATAAAAAATAATAATTATAATAATAATAGTAATAATAATAATTATTTAACTTTGTCAATTAATTTCATAATTATAAATGCTGTGCATTATAAATTATTTACATTTAAAAGGCTTTTGTTTATATATTTCCAGGAAAGTCAATCCTCGTACCTATTTAATTAAATTATAAAAAAAAAACTATATCTTTAAGGACTTTTTTTGTGAAAAATGTAAATATACACTTATAAAGAAAAGCAAGCTAATTAGGTAACACCAATTAATTAAGAAAATGAAATAAATTCTATTGTTATTATATATCTTTATTAGGTTATTACAGAAATTTTATTCGAATCAAATCTGTTTTCTTCGAATCAAATCTATTTTCTTCGAATTAAATAAAGTTTATTGTCATTAATTAAATTTTGTTATCATAGTTTAACTATAAATTTTAATAAATTTTAATAAATTTCATCAAATTTAATATTATTGACTTAAAAATTCACATAATTGGATTAATTTCTCTCAATGATTCAATTAATGTAATTAAAAGAGAAAGGAATATTAATTTCAAAGAGAAACATTTAGAAAAGTGAAAAAATGAGATTATAAAAAATTTTCAAATTTGTTCAAGGATTGACTATAAAAAAAACTGTTGAATTTTATTATTAGAACATTTATAAACTGAACTATGCATTTACAACATAAACTCTTCCTGAGCCAGGTAAAAACTGACGAATAATGATCATACCTATATTATATATAAAGAATTTGAGAAAGTTTTAGAAAATTTCTTTATTATTTGCACATTATCCTTCGAATTTAATAAAACTTGCATCAAAAAAAAAAAAAAAGAAAGAAGATTATACATATAATTGCATATATTGTACATACTTCCTTGATTATAGAGATTTGACAAATTCTCGCACGTATTTAACACGTATGAATATGTAAAACAAGAAGCAGTGTGAGAGAGTGAGAGTAAAAGTTCCAAAAAAGAAAAAAGAAAAATATTTTTTTCCCGAGCAAAAGAGTGATAGTTTTGCCTTCAATTTGCATCTTCGATCGCCTTGTAAATAATAGTACGTTAATTAAAAAAAAATGTAAACGTACTATTATATTGCTGTCAGTAAAAAAAAAATAACCGCAATTATTTCGAAAGATGGAGCGAGAAACGAAATGAAGATTAACTCGACATTGTATGCTAACTATTACTGCTACTATTAGATACTATTAGATAATAAAAAAAATGTTATTACCAATGCTACTGAAAAAAATACTATGTTGATATTATGAATACGGAATACTAAAATAGCGAACGATCTTTAAATAAATACCGGAAAAAAAGTTAGATTGTACGTTTTAAAAAAGGCATGATAATTGAAAAAGTGCGAGAGTGAAAATGCGAAAAAAAAATACTTTTTGTAAAAGAACTAATAACAGAAATAAAAGGCGATGATATATTGGCTACTAAACAAGGCGGTCCAAAAACCGGAAATGGTAAAAAAAGAAAGCCACCACGAGAAGTCAAAAGAAAAAACAGAAACAGAAGTCGATTCGAGAAAAGCCTTAAAAATCAAGAAATAAAAAAAATAGTACACCCAAAGTGGCATCTCACTATATATTATATAATAATGAGCTTGTAATTCTTAGGGCACTCAAAAAAAAAAAATAAAAAAAGACTTTTGAACGTTCATTCCAAATCTTGCATATCAGGAAAATCTTTTTTGTAACATATGAACGTTTCGAAAGGTAGATGACACACGAAACACTTTTTTCTCCACCAAATCAACATCTAAAGAAAAAATAATAAAAATCGTGTCCAAAAATACTTCACTGATCAAGATCAGTTCATATCACTGATCGACAGTGTTTTAATTAAATATATTTTTAAGAAAAAGAAAAACAGTCCAAAAATCTTTTTAAAAATATAGTATTGAGAAAATTATGAAAATAAATTTTTTTTTGTCATTTTATCCGTTTCCGGTTTCAAGGGCGAAGCAAAATTTTTATTCAATGCGATGAATAGTAAAAACAAAGGAAATAAAATATCTCACGCCTGATTTAAAAAAAAAAAACTCGACTTGAATGTCTTATGTGTATAGAAATCTTATTCGCGAGAGTCTCTAGATCTATTTTACATGGTGATTCTTGTTGAAGAAAAGACATTCGATTTTCGAAAATATCTATTCCTTTTTTTCAACTTCCTTCGAATTTAAATAATTATTAAACTTTTGTTATAAACTTTAAACAAATGGAAAATTTTCTACTTGAAAAAAAGAGAGAATTTTTCTACATATTCATTGGAAAATCGAATAATTATTATATTTGAGTCCATTGATTGCTATTGTTAATTATTCACTTATTAAATTTTACTTTAAAAAAAAAAACATCTTTTGGAAAATTGTTTCGAATTAATTACTTAAAAGAATTTTTAACAAATGGAAAGTTTCAAAATATTAAAAAATTGTTTATAAAAATTTTGTTGAATTATTAACAAGTTTATTAATTTAGAAAACTAAATTTTATTTCAGTTTTGTTAGTCAAAGAAATTAATAAAATTGAAAATCCACTGAAAAGTGTATAAAAAAGTTTACCATATCTTGTAAAAATAATAAATATTGCTGCAAACTGTTAAAAAACTAATTTTAAGAAAATTTCTCCAATTTGAAAATAAAATGTGCCAAAAAATTGTTTTTTAATCCAAATTTCGCTACTTAATAAATATGTTTAGAATATAATTTTTTCTTTAAATAACAATAAAATATATCGATTGATTCAGATATATTAACAAATTCATATTCAAAATTGAAACACTATCCAATAAATTTAATTAAGGCCTAAAAAGAATTATTGATAAAAATTTAAAATCGTCAATTGTCAATTTTATTCCGCAAAGAAAAAGAGAAAGAAATACTGGTACTAATAAAAAAAAAATTTCTTCATTTGTCAGTGAGAATAAGTCATCAAAGCACAGTAGCTATTTTAGATGTGCCTTAAAGTGTGTATATTCACTTCGTGCTCTCAAAACTTATAAATAAATTCTTAAAAGAAAACTAAAAAAACTCACAAAATAATCACATCTCACCGAAAAATCTTCTTTTAAACATATAACTATTTTAAAGTTTTAAACACACTCGTATATATTAATATAAAATAATTATTCGAAAATCGAATGTAAATTTGTATACAGTAATTTTATTTCTTTCTTTTTCATTTATTGAGAAACTGAAAAATAAGAAAGCCAAGTAGAACGCCTTGTAAAATAATCACCCTAGCGTCAATTTTCTACAAAAAATATATATATATTATATATATGTGCGATGCCCTAAAGCGCACAAGTGATTCCGCAAATTGGTTTACACGCGTGAGTATATACAATTAATTATATTTTATTTTCTCATTCACTGAATATTCCTCTCAATTTTTTTTTAAATTAAATCTTAAATCTACATTACGAAGAGAAAAATATATTTATCAGAAATAATTGAAAATTTTCCTAGGATTCAAATTATTTTTAATCCAATTTTAAATGAATTCATCGAAAAATGTAATTATTTTCAAACATTTCTGCTAGAATTCAATTACATTTCACAAATAATGAAATTCTTCGCAGAAATTCAAACATTTTCAAAATTTACTATTTTAATAAAAATTCTCAAAAGAATTCAATTATTTAAAAAAAAAAAAATGTAACAAAATTCGTTGTAATAATTCAATTATTATCATAAATAATAATAATATTCTTCACAGGATTTCAATTATTTAAAAAAAATACAATAAAATTTCTCCAATTAAATATATTAGAAATTAAAAACATCAAATAATTAAAAAAATTCCATTAAACTTATTGAGAAAAATTGATTCTAAAGAATTCTTAATTAAAAGTATGAAAATTCAAATTTTGAAAGATTTTAATTTAAAATTTATTTTTAAATCAATATTTATTAGAAAAACTATAAAAATAAGTACTTTATTAAACAATTAAATGTTTCT